ACATTGTACACAAAGCAGCCGGCTGCGGCGTGCCTCACGAATGGAGTGTGTTAAAAGGATTACACCGGGCTTACCGGAGTGGCCAGATACCTACCGAGGATGTCCCGAGACGGAAAGCCGGTACGTGGCCCCGCATAGGGTCACAGAATCCGCCGTGTTGTGTTTCGATACGTTCAATTCAGCTATCTTCGTCCAAAGGTCTACGTTGATGATTTTCATTGATATTTACCAAAAGTCATTATGCTAAATCACAAATAGCATCTATGAGCCTCAAACTCGTAAATTTACTATCTCAGTTCAAGTCAGCTGCTCGGAAGGTAAGCCCGGCTAGATGTGTCGTAGTGCGGCATTGCATAGCCAAGGCAGTATAATGCTAGGATCCATCTCCCAGAGACTACCTGCTCCTGCCTTCACTGAGGAAGCGGACTGGACCTCACCCGACAATGGTCAGTGGTGAGCGGTGCCAGACTAACCTGCCGGTGGAGGAGCGGGATGACTGTCTGCGCAGACGATCATCGTGTGTGTCGAAGAAGCGATCAGCCTCTGGGCTCTGGTCGGGGCTGCTGGGCGGCTGGCAGCTGAGTGCAGGCACCTCAGCCACGTCTGGCAGGCTAAAGTCGGGCTCCTCCGACTGCCGCTGCTGCCGCCGCACCACCGACATCCTCCCTCAGCCTGCCAGTGAAACAGGGTCAGGCAGGTTACTCATAGGCTACAGGGTCACTCAGGTCACTCCTGGATAAGGTCAATTAGGCCACTGGTGGCAGGATCAGCACAGCTAAGTTATGCTTATCAAGTGGTGCTAGATCACTGCAGTAGCAAAAGTGACTGCAAACAAGTCAATTAATGGCAAAACTCTGTAGAATCAATGCATAGTTTTACAGAAATGCTGTCCCTTTTCACCTTGTCCCTGCTTGTGCTAGAGCTTTGCTCTTGACTGTGATGTTCCCTACACCTAGGTACCGAGCCCACACTGCAAGGTAAGACAAGAGATAGAGTTTACATGTATCACCAATAATCGTAAAATAATGGTAAAAATTGATCCACACTAGCAATGAGACTTGTGTGGACACACCAGCCTCGGAATGATTTAAACTGAGCTTAGATATTGATATTTACCATCCAATATTAACTCAAACTGTGCTTTGATCAGATGAACTAAAAGAAAACAACATCAGTGCCTAACTGATAAGCAGAAACACAAAAATAATGCAAATTGATCATACTTACTGGCTAACTTCAAGCTTCCGTAGGTAGGTATATTTTTCAACTTTATTTATCTATGGTAAACTTTTCGTCTGCTACATTTTCCCCTTCAGCCTGCTGATTGGCGCAGATAAGACGTTCAGTATTTTGTGAACGCACTGAACGTGAGCGTGAGCAGCTGCATCAAGTCGATGCTATCATACCTTAAAATGACGTCATGAATGCAAAGTCTTCGTTCTACTTGGTTTTACATGAATAGCATGTATAACATCACAGTTAATTATTTTAAAAAAATGAAGGGATCTTCAAAATCTGTGAACTTATTCATTTTTTCAAAAGCAAAAACGAGAAATAACGTGTCAAAAAAATGCAACTTCATGATCCAATGCAATATGCATTGACCTAAAAAAGTCAATGATCCAATGCAAATTTAATGGACTCTGTCTCTTTCAAGAGAATACTTCCATGATGATTGCACTTGCATATTTCCTCACCATAAAACATTTAAAATACCTACAAGAATATTGGCATTGATTAGCACTAAAAACTCCATAGGAAGTATCATGATGTAATTTGTTAGCATCAAATTCTTTTAAGTAATGCAAGGTATTTATTTCTAAAACCTTGATCTACGGTTTTATCGTGAACGTAAATTGTTTACGAAAGTGGCGTGGGGTGTAGTCCTATGTTTGGGGATATTTCACGAATTTTATTGCATCAAGTGGGTGTGAATGATATGCCTAATAGTATGTGTTAGCTGCTGAATTTTTGTTGGCTCCAGCTTTATTGTGGCTATACATCCAAGACTGGGGAGACGATATTTATTTTTCCATTTGGCTGCGCCACAATAGCCTACTGCAATGGCATCTGGGACAGCATTGCAAAAGGCCATAGACTTGGTCACCAAAGCCACTGAGGCTGATCGCGAGAAAAACTTCTCAGAAGCTTGTAGACTGTATGAACATGGAGTGGAACATTTCCTTCACTCTTTGAAATATGAGGCTCAGTCAGAAAAGGGGAAAGAAAGTATCCGTGCTAAGTGCATTCAGTATCTCGAAAGGGCGGAAAAGCTGAAGGAGTACTTGAAGAAGCAAGAGGGTAAAGCGGACAAGAAGCCTGTTAAAGATGGAGGAAGTGGGAAAAAGGAAGACTCTGATTCTGACTCTGATTCAGACCCTGACAAGAAAAAGATGTTGTCCAAACTGGAGGGGGCTATTGTCATGGAGAAAAACCTGAATGTGAAATGGTCAGATGTTGCAGGCCTGGATGCTGCAAAGGAGTCACTGAAGGAAGCTGTCATCCTACCCATCAAGTTTCCTCATCTTTTCACTGGCAAGAGAAAGCCATGGAAAGGAATTCTCCTGTTTGGCCCCCCAGGAACAGGTAAATCCTACCTTGCCAAAGCTGTGGCAACAGAGGCCTCAAACTCGACTTTCTTTTCAGTCTCATCTGCTGACCTTGTCTCAAAGTGGCTGGGAGAGTCAGAGAAGCTGGTGCGAAACCTGTTTGAACTAGCAAGGGAGCACAAGCCGTCCATCATCTTCATTGATGAAATTGATTCACTGTGCTCTTCAAGATCAGACAATGAATCTGAATCAGCCAGGCGCATCAAGACTGAGTTCCTGGTCCAGATGCAAGGTGTTGGCAATGACTCAGATGGCATCCTTGTGCTGGGAGCCACCAACATCCCGTGGGTGCTGGACGCCGCCATCCGCAGACGTTTTGAGAAGAGGATCTACATTCCCCTCCCGGAGTCGCACGCCAGGGCAGCCATGTTCAAAATCCACCTGGGCAACACTCCGCACATGCTGACAGAGCAGGACTTCAGGACCCTGGGAGACAAGTCTGAGGGCTTCTCCGGCGCTGACATCAGCATCGTGGTGCGGGATGCCCTCATGCAGCCCGTCAGGAAGGTGCAGACCGCCACCCACTTCAAGCGAGTGAGGGGTCCGTCCCGGTCGGACCCCAACGCCACGGTGGACGACCTGCTCACCCCCTGCTCCCCCGGGGACCCGGGAGCCATCGAGATGTCCTGGATGGACGTCGACGGCGACAAGCTGCTGGAGCCAGTCGTCAACATGAGCGACATGCTGAAGTCCATGGCCAGCTCCAAGCCGACCGTGAACGACGAAGATCTTAAGAAGGTGGAGAAGTTCTGCGAGGACTTTGGAATGGAGGGGTGAGTGGGGCAGTCTGGAAGGGGATCGTGGGATTTTGAAAGTCCTTGCTGTTTAGACACGACCAAAGCACTCTTCAGTGGTCCTGTCAGCTTTGGTTAGCCACCTAGCTCTGATGTTGCTGCAGGGATGCTCATGTTCAGTGCATCAGTTGAATCTGTCATTCTGCTTCAATCAGCACTTGTTGGAAAATGGCCCGTCTGCTATGAACGACTGGACGTGACAGACTGAGTGATATTTGGTTTGGTTTTTAGATGTCCAGTCTGGTGATGTGATATGATAGCACATGTAGAACCAGTTTGTCACTTTCCTCTGCCGACCCAACTGTAATTATCTATGCTTTGAGGCTATTTGAAAGTCTGTTTAAGGGGGAGGAAAGGCATAAACTCTGCTATCATTTAACATGTGTACCTGTGGGTCGATAACTGGGCCGACATAGTGAGTGCATGTGGATGGGCCGTCCGACTGCCTTGCACGTGATGTGGTTGTGCGTATGCTGCAGGCTGCTGGGCTGTATTATAATGAGCATAGAACTGTGTGCTATATTCGAATTCTTATGGTGCTGCGTTGGAATCACTGAGAGATAAATGCTTGCGGCCGTCATTTCTTCTTTGCATCTGACATTATGCGGAATGGAGACGGCATCTGCAAAATGACGGCTCTCAATAAATTTATGATGTAGTATGAGTGGCATTTTTGGCGAAACGAGGTTGTGGTACTTGTGATGGTGAATGGACGGTTGTCGCTTGTGACGTGCAGCCTGCTTTTATACACATGCGATTTATCCCCTACCTACCAAGGCGGTTAAAATACCGTGTTTACATTTGTTTTACGTTCTTTGGTCAGTGACGACATCCGTCGTTAAGCTGATATATCATGCGTGCGCATATTTCCTGGTGCCTCACATTTGCGATACGAACATATGCGATAAGAGCTTCCGTACGTAACCGTGCTATGACTGATCCTGTGCGTCTCACCGTTGCCCGCTGTAGGCACTAGATGGCAGGACGTGGTCCGAAGGCTAGCGGAACAGATGGCAGCACTGTCAGGCCCCGTCTGGCGGTGGACGGGGATCGTTTGCTGGGTTTGCTGCATCATGCATTGCTTATTTCAGGTGACATTTTTTTTTAGAAGCGCGAATCAGCGACGAAAACACGATAGGTAGGTAGGGCTACAGACATCCAAAAACTGTAAATTTATTTGTAAATAAATTCATCGTGGCTCGCTCAGTGAACGACTGGTACAGAGCGCAATTCAGAACCATTGGCTGCCTTAAAACATATACGCGGGAGCCAGGGGGCTCGCAGGGGCTGAGCCAAGATACTTAGGCTGAGCCCGCCGATTTTTCTGCTGGGGAGAGGAGGGTCGCAGTGCATTCGAGCCTACTCAGCTCAAGTCACGGACCAACCTTTCTCGGAAATAAAACCAGATCATGATTATCAAAACCGGTCTCTCCGTTCAGTAGGCATAAAAAAAATAGGACTAGGACGTTTCGTGGCTTGTGCTGCCGATTTCCATTGTGCCCTTCTTTTGCATTTGACAGCGATTGGGATATAACGATAAACGTCCCACTATCGCTGTCATACGCCATCATCCTACACACAAAAACGCCGACGATTACCATTATCTAGGTATTTATATTGTCTGACATAGGTAACTGTCTATAATTGAGCGCTGCCACTTGCCAGTCTTGTATAAGATGATTGGTAAAAGAAAACTTAGATCCTACACGGGCGTAGGAACGTCATGAAAAGTGGGTGGGCCACCCTGTCAAGGGGCCTCCTTTTCCAGCGGGCCTCCTATTTTCAGGGGCCTCCAACTTTTGCCTCATCCTGCTGGCTGCTTTCAAGTATGACCTCCAAATCTAGCTCCTGAGATCAGGCAGATGTACCCAGGGGCGTAACCGCTTAACCCGCGCCCCACTGGGGTCTGTGTATAACACGCCCTACTGGGGGGGGGGGGGGCTATTCATAGCCCCCCCCCTCCTAACTCCGAAACTACTGGGCCGATCGTCAAAATTCAAACGGCGTCTGATAGCCCCGGAAAAACTGTCGAGCGAAACCTAATTTCATTGACCTCGAGGTCACCGATGACGTCACAGGTCAGGTCAAAGTAAAAATTATTAGCACTTTGGCTTGTTCACATTTTGGGCTCTGGCCGCCGTCTTACAAGTCACATCAGGCTCATTTTTGGTTTCCACACTCGTGAACAGATGCTCTAGATACCTTGAGGGTACCAAACTTGTACTTTGATTTTCAGGTCAGGGTCAGGTCATCACAGGTCACGAAAATATTATATCATGCGTCGGTCACGTGACACATGTTTTATGGTCCATTTAGGCCATAGATTTCGAATTTGATGTCGTCTGTGTCATTCAAGGTCATTTTGAGTCGAAATTAGCTTAGGTCAGGTCACTTTCAGGTCAAAAAAGGTCAAATTTTGAAGTTGAAATTTTTCAACAAAAAAGGTGTCTATTGGATGCAGTTTGAGCTCAGGAACACGATGGTGCCATTTATAATGGTGTACGATGCCAAATACGTACTGAAAAATTGATTTGAAAAATTAATAATTGTGAATTTTTTGCAATAATGCGTATAACTTGGCCATTTTTGAAGATATTTAGCTAAAACTTGCTAGAGTTAGTCATAATCATGCGTTCTGTCACATATATTCCGGTTTTTTCGAAAAGTCAAAAACTTTTTGAAAAAAATATAAAAATATAAATTTTGAATATTATTATATAAAATTTTCGAAATTTTCAAAATTTTGAAAATCCGAGATAGCAGTTTGATAGCGCGGTCAATTCTGAGTTATTTCATGCAAAGAAATTGGATCTAGCTTAAAAACTGAGCTCTTGGGAGCGATTGCCGTGGTTCAATGTTTTGCGTCGAAATCGGACGAACATGACGTCACTCTGACGTCATTTCCGGCCGACCTATGGTAGCTACGAAGTTGAAATTTTGACACAAGGTGTCAAATTGATGCAGCCGAAGGTACTGAAAGTTTGGCGTCGATTTGTCAAGCGGTTTGGAAGTTATTGCAGAAAAACGGGAGGGGGGGCTATAAATAGCCCCCCCCAGTGGGGCGCGGGTTAAGGGGCCCTGACACTTGCACGGTTTTGTGGCACGCATTGGCACGAATCGAATCGTGCCCGTGCGCATACTAGTCGTAAACTGACGTGAAGTGTGCGTTAGCTCGTCGGGACTTCGTGCCATGTCGGGGCGAGAACTTTGAAATGTTCAAAGTTTTGGTCACGACAAAATTTCGTGACCGGATCGTGAACTATGCGCAAACTGTTCGTGAACTCGTCGTGAACTCGTCGGGACGGTGCGGGAAGTGCGTAAGCTATGCGCAAACTATGCGGAAAGTATTCGTAAACTCGTCGTACCAGCCCTTGCCAATGTGTGGATCTCGGCTTGCTTCGCAGCGCAAAATTTGGGATTGTTTGGTGTTTTTCCCGAGTCGATTGGACGCCTAGATGGGAAGTTATGACCGAAAATGTATTTAACGGGTCATTTCAGGTCAAAGAGGTCAAACTAGGTCACACGGGCTCAGGCTAGACCACAGAGGTCAAATTAGGTCACACCGTGTCAGGTTAGGTCACAGAGGTCACCATGAGGTCACGATGGGTTACGCCAGGTCACAGAGGTCAGCCAAAGTCACGATAGGTCAGTCCAGGTCAAACTGGTCACATTGAGTACGGTCAGGACACTTGCGTCACTGGAGCTCACGATGGGTCAGGCCAGGACACGGAGAAACTGGTAAATGGGAGGTCCCATTTTTATATGGCATGCCCAAGTCGGCACAACTTACGCAAACTTGTCGTGCCAATGCGGGAAGTGCGTAAACTATGCGCAAACTATGCGGAAAGTATGCGTGAACTCGTCGTGCCAGTCCGTGTCAATGTGGACACTGATGGGCACGCATTCGTGAATTATTCGTGAAATCGTCGTGAACTGGTCGTGCACTAGTCGTGAACAGTGCGGGAGCCATCCCAGTTCGTGCACGAAAATGGCACGGCTTGCCACGACAAAATCGTGACCAAAAGTCGTGCAAGTGTCAGGGCACCTTAAAGCGAACAGTGCGGAAAGTCCGCACCATTTTTAAAACTTCTTCCCCCTCCGATTTTTTTTTAGAATCTATTTGCCGCAAACGGCGCATGACCCCTGAAAACCCTTACACAAATGTTAGCTTCATAGGCGCCTTTAGGCGATGGCTGTGCACTTTACAGAGTGCAATGGCCTCTGGAGACAGTGCTCAGGGGGTGTGCTACCCCTGAAACGTTATTCTTATCGGGTTATCGGCAACTTTGCCCGCCGGATGCAGGTGTGCCTTCGCCCTGCAGCGCCGGGGCGCTCACCTGGAGCACATTGTGGAGCGTCCGTAAAACACACACTGTACTAAAAGTATTCGTAGTGAAGACTTGAAACTTGGTGGATGTCTGATACGTAGGTGTGACCTAAAGTGGCCGAAGTTTGGTGATGATCTGAATAAAACTTCCGAAGTTATTCGAATTTTGGTGATGACCGCTTTTTTGTGTCACCCTGTACAATGTGCGCTTATCATAGGCGTCTCTCTTTTATGGACACTTGAAGGCGCCTCTCTTTGCCATGCCGGCGCCCCTGTTTCTTATGAATGCACCCCCATGGCATTGATCAATTGCAATTTGCAGACCTCTATTGCATGTGGACGCCCATATATGTAGGCCTCAGAGGCGCCCCTCTTTCGCATTGAGGCGCCCCTATGGGCTTCATAGGCGCCCCTCTATTGCATGTAGGTGCCCTACTGTCTCAGAACCGCTCCCCTTTGGCATGCAGACGCCCATCTTTCGTACGGAGGAGCCGCTGTGGTTCTTAGAGACGGCATGGTGCTCCCAGACGCAGATGGGGCTCTCGGAGTCGACAGTGTGGGACCTTCAGTCGCTGATGGGTACCCGCCAGATGTGGACCCTCGGAGACGCCGGTATGGGGCCCTCAGAGATGCCGGTATGTGACCCTTAGAGACACCGGTGTGGAACCCTCAGATACTTCAGTGTGAAGCCCTTACAATTGCTGGTGTGGAGCTACGAATGCGCTGGCTTAAATCCCTCAGAGGCCGGTGCATGGACATTAGAGCTCAGTAAGAGTTTGTGTGGTGCCTTCAGTGGCCTTGTGGAGCCGTTAGACATCAACATGGTGCTCTCAGGAGCCGGTGAGTCCTCAGAGTCACCGGTGTGGGGCCTTCAGAGCACCGAGATACTGGTGTGGGGCCCTCAGAGGCAGGGGCGGCGCCACGGGTTTTCGATAGGGGGGGACGGGGACCGAAAATCGAAAATCCCAAAAGTAGATACTGATCGTATATGCAAAAAAAGCGAGGCACGTAACGCCGCGAAACTTGGCAAGGCCCAAAACACATCGAATGGTGCATCCCGTTTCCAAACTTATCCTAGGACACCTAAGATCGATCACCTTTTCAAGCATCCTTGCCTCTAAATCAAAATTTGCAGTCTTGCCAACTCAAAGCTGGTTTCCTACAAGCTGCGAATTGCTTAGGTATATGAGTAGCAGTGCCAGCTATTCTTACGTTTCGTACTTTAAAATTTTCGATCTTACGTCTGGTCAGCTTCAGGGCTTCACCATCATATGGTCATGGAGGAAAAGTGGGAATGTCTTCTGCTCTGACAAGTGCGCCAAAACTGCAATATAGTTTCAGAATCATGACATCACCACCTGATCCATATGCAACGGGCAGGGTGCAGCTAATGGCTAGCCGTCAGTGGTCATGTCATCGGTGGTCACTCAAAAGGCCATGCTAGGTCATGGAAGGTCACCAGCCGTTATTTGATCACACTTTCTGATGGATTTTACTTGCCAAGAGCTTCGCGGGAAAAACGAGCGCATGCACCGTTGAAAAAATTGAGTGAAAGGGTCTCAGGTCCGGCGACCTCTGCAGGTGAAATGCCCCAGGGTAGGATTCCGGTGCTTGTTGATTAACTTCGTCAAAAATGGCAGTAGAGCTGTGATGTCGGCACCATTGTGTTCGTCATGATCGAGCTGGCACGACCTGCATCGTTCTCATATTCACCCTCCAATCGTAACAACTACAGCAGGGATTGGCAAATGGCGGGGCAACCCCTTTGGGAGGTAATGAAGGTCTCTGGAAACCTCATCCCACATCTAAAAAAAAAAACGAGTGTTATCGAACCCCTTGACGAGAGGGAGCCGATGCTATATCCAATTATAAGGTCTTGGGCTACTGCGTGCTTTTTTGGTCCTGCCCGTGATCTATCCGAACACTTCTCCCCACAAGTGCTGGGGTTAAATGGCATAGATTTCAAATGGTTCCTGTGGTAGAACTGCCATGCTTGAATTTGACTAATTAGGAATGGAAAATTTTCATATAGTAACGGAAGTCTATGGAATTTCAGTGAACTTGGTTTTATCGGCAATGGGGTCTGGCAGTGGTGTGGGGAGGTAATAAGTAATAACCCTGCCTGGCGCCCCAAAAAGGGGGCACGATCCCCGAGGCCCTGCCGATCACCTTATAACTACAGGCATCACAGCTCCACACCTTTTGCAGACGGCCAGGACCCCCTGCGATGCATCCCAACAGCAATCAACCTGCCTTGATTAACCAACGATGCTTAAATGCGACGGATAGCTCTATAATGCATTATTATCAACCGTATTGAACGGGCCTCGCCGATAGGGGGGTACTGTACCCCCCTAACTTTCGATAGCGGGGGACCTGTCCCCCCGTCCCCCCCGGTGGCGCCGCCCATGCTCAGAGGTGTCGGTGTGGGTCCTTTAGATGTACATATAGAGCCTTGAGATGCACAGGTGTGGTGGCCCACAGAGGCGCCGGTGTGGGGCCCCCAGAGCCACCGATATAATAGGGCCCTAAGAGACACTAGTATGACCCTCAAAGGCGCCGCTGTGTGGCGCTCATAAACACTGGTGTGGAGCCATCACAGGCGGGTGGAGCCGTTAGAGGCCGGAAAGGGCCCTTAGATGCCTACAAGGAGCCTTCAGAAGCCGGCGTGGCACCCTTATGGGTATAAGCGTGTCTACTTAGGAGCCCTTGAGGTGCTCTCATGAGCTCTGTGGGGCCCTACCGAGCCGAAATATGGCCACGGCCAGTTGCCGCCGCATGGCTCTTCCGACTATCATTCTCAGGGGCCTCATCTGCCTAGTTTGAATAGAAGGGCCTCTCAGACCATCAGTCTCATGGGCCTCCTCTGGCTAGTATAAATAGAAGGGCCTGTTAGACCATCAATCCTAGGGGCCTCTTCTGGTTAGTATAAATAGAAGAGCCTCTCAGACCATTAATCTCAGGGGGCCCCTGTGGACAGTATAAATAAAAGGGCCTCTCAGACCATCAGTCCCGGGGGCCTCCCTAGAAAAGTGTAAATGTGGATAGAAGGCCCCCTCAGATTCATTACGAGTGGACCTCTCTGACTATCAGTCTCAGGGGCCTCTTGTGGCCAGTATGCATATAAGAGCCTCTCAGACCATCGGTCTCAGGGGCCTCTTCTGACTAGTGTGGATAGAGGGCCCTCCCAGACCACCGGTTTCAGGGGCCTCCAGTGACCAGTTATATGAACAGAAGGGCCTCACAGCCATCAGCCTTGGGGGCCTCTTCTGACTGGTGTGAATATGAGGGCCTCTCATACCATCAGTCTCAGGGGCCTCCTCTGCCTAGTGTGAATATAAGGGCTTCCCAGGCCATCAGTCATCAGTCTCTTCTGACTGGTGCCGGATTGAGGGACCTCCCAGACCGAAAGTTTTGGGGATCTCCTGTAGCCAGTATGAATAGAAGGGCCTCTCAGTCCATCAGTATCATGGGCCTCTTCTGCCTGGTGTGATTATAAGGGCCTCTCAGGTCATCAGTCTCAGGGGCCTCGCCCTCCTCTGACTACAATGTAGATGGATAGGCCTCCCAGACCATCAGTTTCAGGGGCCTCTTCTGACTATTGACTTTGAGGATAGAGGGGCCTCCTCTGACTAGTGAGGGTAGGGGGCCTCGGCTAGACCGCCAGTGTCAGGGGCCTATTCTGACTAGTGTGGATGGAGGGGCCTTCCAGACCAGTGTGGATATGGGGGCCTCCTCAGATCCACTAGGGCCTCTCAGGCCATCAGTCTCAGGGGCTTCGACTGATAAGCATGAACAGGGGGCCTCCTTGGATCCATCACGGCCCCTTGGAGTCCGTGCGTGGGGATTCGTGGAACTTATTTTTACCGAGTTTGTTTATTCTGGAAGGTGACGACGTCCTCTCAAATCGAGACGAGGGGCCTCGAGTAAAAAGTGGGTGGGCCAAAACACATAGTTGCCCCCCCCCCCCCCACCTCGAAAAGTGGGTGGGCACTGGGCACTTGCCCACCTGGCCCCCCCCCCCTGTTCCTACGCCTATGTCCTACATAGTCTGACATGTATGTAGGTAACGTAGAGATGTCGCTCCACTCATGTGACATGTCCAACAAAAACAACGAGTGGTAACTTGTCTGAACAAAGTTCATGGAACCGGACTGCTTGCACTACCGCTAAGAAAGTAAGCGGACAGGTATTTAAAAAGAAAAAAAACACACACACACGGATGTTGGCGATGCAAATATTTATCACATATTGACGGACATTGCAGTTGCATGGGGCCGTGAATTAAAAAGATATTCATAAAATGTTGTAGGTACCTAATTGTGTACGTTCCCACTTGCCACCTTCACGTGGGAAGGAGCAACAGGAGCACAATTAAACAGTAGGCTAAGTCCGCTAAGTCCAAGGCACTAAGCCTCTGCCAGCAGTTCCTCATATATGCTCTGGGCGATGTCACGAGCTGTTGTATTCTGAAAGACCTCCTGTGGGCGATACCCGAAGAGGAACAGGTCCTGCAGGTAGTGTCGCAGCACGCCCTTCAGCACGTCCGTCCGGAGCAGGCTCACCAGGCTCTCCGTGACGTCCGGGGTGGCCGACCGGTACCCCTCGGGGAACTTCACCGAGGTGATGTTGGCGGTCCGCAGCACGAGCCGGGCGTCCTCGGCGAGGGAGGCCGTCCTGCCGAGCACCGTGTACGGGATGGTGCACGGGTGGCACAGGTCCACCATCGGACGCCAGTGCTCGTCGTGCTGCCCTTCCTTGCTGTCCGTGTCTAGGTCCACGGGACCCGCCTCGGCTACCCACTCGGCGAACCTCTCAAACGTTACCGTCGGCAGATTTTCCGCAGCGACGGATGCATTTGTGCGGTCGTGTAGCGAAATGCTGCCTTTGGGCTCGCCCATTATTTCAACAGCGTATAGTTGGCGATATGGGAGATTGTAAATGCCTGGGTTTAGCTTGTTGCGGAAGGCGGACACCATCCTTTCGAGCGGATGTCGCGAGAACATGAAGGAGGTGTACGTTTCCAGCCGTCGGCGGACCTCAGGCTCGGGGAGTTGCGATAGCGTGCGATGAATGCGAGACTTGTGTGCTATCGCAGAACTTATGTTGTTGAAGGGTACGTTTGGGAACACTCCAGACAGTATGCCGAACAGTTTCTTCCATTGTGTGCAGGAGACCTGAAAGAGGAGCCACGGAGAGGTGAGAGCACGTCATGCTTATACGACCGGTCACAGTTTGGGTGGGTAGAGGCCATAGTACAGTCGTGTACAGGTTGATGGTCCGCTACTCTTTATCCACTGGTTTCCTATGGCTCAGCATTGGCAGCAGCCGCCTGGTACCGGTAGGCTGTGCCGCATGACCCGAGAGTGAAGCGGCAAAGTCTATCCACGCCGTTTGACATCGGCTCGGGTCGCCGGGTGGAGCGCTTTGTAGACTGCAGCTGTTGCGTCAGACCAGCGCGGGGGGAGGGGCTCGTCTCGGTGGTTGGCGTCGCATGGGCTGGCGAGTGGTGTGGGGCGTGTTGGTGGACCATGGGGGCTGGGCGGGTGTGTGTGGTCACTTGCTGCATTGTACATTTTGCGTCGCTTAACAATTGCATTCCTGGTTTTGCTAAGCAAAATGCACGGAAGACCCAGCGAATATAATTTTCTTTACTTGCGTGCATTGTGCAAAACGTGATTTGGCACGGTATCGAGGCAACCATATAGGTCTTGTGCCACATATATGCATGATATTTAGGCAATACGGTTATGAAAATGGTAGATTGATCCTGGATGTCAATTCGTATGCTAAATGTCGACATGTATTAAATTAACGAATGAATCAATCAATCAATCAATCAATCGACAATCGACATGTAACATGTTAGGTATAAAACCGTATAAATGGCTCGCAACCACTAAAATCAAAATTCAAACCAGATCCTAACTCGGAAAAGTAGCCGGAGTCCCGATGAGGCTCGAACCGGGACTCAACGTTGAAAGTTTTGCCAATGATCCATCATCATTCCACCAAGCTAGAGCGACCGGCACCGGAAACCACAAAAACATTCATTGACTTTGCTGCCGACTGCCCGGCCTCGCCGCCAGCCCGGCCGGACTGTGCCCCGGCCCAATCCGCGATCCGGTGTAGCTCAGCGTAGGATTGCTACACTGTCAAACTGACCGGTAGTGAGAGGCCCGGTTCGAGACGCTTCGCGTGCTGGATGTTATTTTTTTGTGTGGGAGGCTTTGCAATTAGTCCACTTTTCAGAAAGATTATTTGGTGACTAACCTGTTTTCTTTCTCTGCTGCAATTCATGAGGAGACCGTATGGACCCTTACCTGTCCTTCCGCACCCCACTTAGGATATGGGTGTTTGAACCCCCTGGGTTTTGTGAATATCTCTAAAGCGAATTTTTGGAGGGTGGATTACGATCGGTTCTATGCGACAAGTGACCACACACACCCAGCCCCAGGTCCGCTCACTCCCTCCCCACATCACCCCCGCCCCACACCACACTCCAGCCCGCCTCATCCACCGAGCCGAGCCAAATCGACAGGCCTGACCCTTACCCCCCTCCCCCTCCCCCCAGCCGGTGGTACGCAGCGTCCGGTCAAATCGCTCTACCAGGCGACCCGAGCCTGTGTCATACGGTAGGCTGTGCCGCTTCACTCTCGGGTCATGCGGCACAGCCTACCGGTACCAGGGCCGAATCGTTTCCCAAATACCTTCAACATTAGCCGAGGCGGGCCGAAGCCATTTCCCAAATGCACGTGCTAATGATATCTCGGCATGTGGTAAAATATATATACGCACTTGTATATAATGATAGGCGCAGTGGCGCGGGAACCGGGGGGGGGGGGGCTAGCGGGGGCTGAGCCCCCCCCCCAGCTTTTCGGCTGAGGGGCTCGTAATGTATTTGAGCCCCCCCCCCCTCCAGCTGGAGGAATCGAAATAGGAAATCTACCAACATATTTTCATAGATTCATACATAGGCGCGGGAAGCGGAGGAGGAGGCAGTGGGGGAAGCTTGCCCCACAACGTTTCATGAGGCCAGGAACCGTTGGGCAGCTTGTCCTCCCCAAATTAGGGGTTAGGGTCACAAAGGAAGAAAGCATGTAAGTGAAAAATCCACCTTTTTCACTGGCTCGGCAACTCATTTGGCAGATTAAAACCTTTACTCCAGGTTGCCAAAACGGTAGTTTCTTCATCAGCTGAGACGAAATGCCTCACTTTTTGAAAATATTTTCGTGTTTTTTTTTGTTGTTGTTGAAAAGGCCAAGGTCTGAAAAATAAGTGGCCTAAAACCGGTGGGAAAACTAGATTTGGGGGTACCCTAGGTTGATTTCTATTATGGTTCAGTCCCCCCCAGTCTGGAAGAAGTTCCCGCGCCACTGGATAGGCGTGCGCACAGTAGGTAGGTACCATTCGCACTCTTGCATTTACAATTTTTGCGATTCAGTTTGTGATATTTTACCGACAAAAAAGGAATATTGCGCTTACCTTTGGGACATAGCAGTATATCAGCTTATGCTCATCATTATATATGAGATATTTGAGCAGCCATGGACGCTTAACAACATAATCCAACGTCTTTTGGGGCCTCCAAGATCTTGTTGCAGAGCAGCGACTCCTTAACAGTGGATGTATGTGTTCTTGTGACATTTCATCGTCTTCAGCAGACATTGAAGAGTATTCTGAAAAACCAAAAGCTGTAAATCGTGATTCGCAAAGGTGGGCTGACACTTCTCCAAATTTCTCTTTAGCTTCTAAATTCTGTGTAGTTTTTTAACTCCCAGTTCAGTTTTCTACAGGGTGTCCCAAAAGTTTTGCAACATTTATTTTCCACGATTATACGCCTTTACTGTTGATTGAAGTGTTGTAGCGGTGATATTATTGTTATAGGTAGATAGTACTATTTTCCACTCAAGTCATTCACACACATTGTCACGACGCATGACTGACTTCACCTATGCGGTGACTGTTAGCTGAGGCGAAGTCATTTGTAGACATACAGGCCACTAAACGGGTCACGGGCCTATAGAGAATGGCCTCTCACGCGCTATTGGATTACTGAGCACAGGTGTGTCTCAGCAAAATATCGCTGAACAGTTTGGGGTCATCGGCCCACTGTCTGTTGATGGCAAAGACGCTTGTTTTAGACAATTCAGCCGTTTTCACGATGTAAGATCTGGCGAATGCTCGTACTTCAAGCTTGACCAAATCCGTACCAAATATAATTTACAACATATATTTTTCATATCATCATAGTTTTACAACAATGTCTTCAATCTTTATATCATGATTCTATTTCAGTGTTTTAATCGAAAATAATGTCTTGTAACTTAAAAAAGTCAGGTAAATAAGCAACTGTGCAGTGTGCAACCCAAACTGACCACTTCTAAGCACCAGTAAATGAGTAAAACGCCTTTTGGGCGAAGAACGAGCGAGCGAGATAGTGAGCCCTGCACGCGCGGAAGGGCGAGAGGATACTTCCAACGGGCTTGTGGAAAGCACCCTTCTAACCGGTCGCTAGCGGTGTGCCAAATTTGAACGCAATCGGCCCAGCCGTTCCTGAGATCTGGAAGCGGCATTCTGCACGTGCGCACGTGCAAACGGGGTCCAAAATGACTTTTGCACGGCACCTTACTAACCGGTCCCCAACCCTGTACCAAATTTGAGCGCAATCGGTCCAGCCGTTCTCGAGATCTGGAAACGCCCCCTGCACCTGCGCACGTGCAGTAGCACCCCAATCTTAACACATGCAGATGAATTATCTGATGGAGACCTAACTGTGTACCGAGTTTCAATTCAATCGGCCCAACCGTTGTGCCGTTAATGAGGTTGCAATTTTGGGGTTCTTAAAAAATGTCCAACTTTACCACGCGCCACGTGCGGTGGTTGGCAAGAACGCATGGTGGCCATCACACCACAGAACTTTTACGTCCAAGTGACATTCAGTAAAGAAGACCGCTTGTCAATCGGATGTCCCGTTCCTAAGATATTAGCTTTTGAAGAGCGTCCCCACGGCCGGCCGGCCGGCCGGCCGCTACTCAGGATTTTCCCTTAAAGGTAGTGTGCCAGCTTTCTTGGACCGTATGGAGTTAATGGCCCAGATAAGGAGAACCGGATTTTTAGAACTTATCCATACCTTCAAAACTCATGGAAACGTCTTAAATTCTTCAAATTTTGAGTACCCCAGTGCGAAATTCGCCCCGACCGGTTGTCGGTCGTACCCCAACCACATTTCACACCACTATGAACAATAAATGCACACACTGAAATCGCTATTACCGATATGCTCATCCAATCAAGTTTCGATAAACCCGTTCATCATCATCTCCTGCGGTTTCGAACACGCCTGTTAGGTGGCTTCTGATGCTCGTCGAGGTCGGAATTTCCAAATAGGTACGCGTGGTGCGTCGGGCCGCGCGCTCTGACTTCGGCCAAGAAAAATGCGTCAGCTGATCATTGTCATTTCTGCCACTTGCGTGTGGTGAAATGGGGTCATAACTTATAAGACGGCTTTTTCATATCAATTATTTTACATAAAATCATATTTCAAACCATAAATAATGTTCGACAGCCAAATAAAAGAAACAATACCAATACGGGCTTACATTGTGTACTCGACATTGTGTTGTCTACGATTAGACAGCTGATAACTCATTCCCGTACGTCGTATGGTCGTAACACTATAATGACCTTTGCTTATTGTCACAAGTGCGCCGCATTCGCGATTGTTGCCCGACGCCTGTTTGCAGGTGAGCCCACTACAGTTGTTATACAATATACATATCTAAAAACCGAAAAACTTTTAGGCGAAAAAGGCACTATTCCAGGCCCATTTTTGATTTTTTTTTTGCGATATTAGGTAAAAACAGAAGCTTCTTATCCTAGGAAAAATAAAATGGGAAATCTTTCAAAGGTGGCACACTACCTTTAATTCAGTACCAGTAGAACGCCTTTTGGGCGACCAACGGAGCGAGCGAGAGGATGGGCCTTGCACGTGCGAAATTGCGAGGGGGTACCTCCAACTAACTTGTGCACTGCACCCTACTAACCGGTCATTAGCGATGTGCCAAATTTCAGCGCAATCGGCCTAGCCGTTCTCGAGATCTGGAAGCGGCACACTGCACGTGCGCACGTGCAAGCGGGGTCCAAACTGGCTTTTGCACGGCACCCTACTAACTGGTCCCCAACCGTGTACCAAATTTGAGCGCAATCGGCCCAGCCGTTCTCGAGATCTGGGAGCGCCCCCTGCACGTGCGCACGTGCTGTAGCACCCCAACCTTAACACATGCAGATGAATTATCTGATGGAGACCTAACCGTGTACCGAGTTTCAATTCAATCGGCCCAACCGTTGTGCCGTTATTGAGGTTGCAATTTTGGGGGTTCTTAAAAAATGTCCAACTTTACCACGCGCCACGTGCGGTGTTTGGCAAGAACGCATGGTGGCCATCACACCACAGAACTTTTACGTCCAAGTGACATTCAGTAAAGAAGACCGCTTGTCAATCGGATGTCCCGTTCCTAAGATATTAGCTTTTGAAGAGCGTCCCCACGGCCGGCCGGCCGGCCGGCCGCTCATACTCAGGATTATATATTCCCGACCGGGGCTGGGAAAATGCGTTTTACTCACCGAGGTTTTTTGTGCGGAGGACCGAGTGCCGGTAGGCACGAGGTCCGTAGCAAAAAAACGAGGTGAATAAAACTGCATTTTCACAGCCCAAGGTTGGGAAGAGATTTACCACATGCCGTACCGGCGCAACAGTTAATATCATATTCATTTGATATTTTACACTTTAATCTTAATATTGTGTTAATATTATATTAGTACTATGTTCATATTTATAGTCACCGTGATTAGTTTTTGTGTTTTTCATTATTGGGCTGCGTTGAGCATGAAAGATGAAATTCCGGTATCGGTAACCCTGGCGTCACCGGTAGCGTTTTCGTTCAAGGTTAAGGTTTCCTGCATTAGGCAGTATTAGGCCACCGTGCCAAGCCGTAGCATGCTGTGACGTCACTGGGTAAGAGAACGTACCACGCTACCAGTATCGACTGAGACTCAGATAGACTCAAACTGACTCAGACCGACTCAACCGACTCAAATAGATTCCGATCGACTCAAACCGACTCAGAACGACTCAAACTGACTCAGACCGACTCAACCGACTCAAATCGATTCCGATCGACTCAGACCGACTCGGAACGACTCAACCGACTCAAATCGATTCCGATCGACTCAGACCGACTCAGAACGACTCAGGCGGACTCAAACCGACTCAAATCGATTCCGAGCGACTCAGGCAGACTCAGAATGATTCAGGCAGACTCAGACAGACTCAGAACGACTCAGGCAGACTCAAACTGACTCGACCGACTCAAAATGACTCAAACTGACTCAGGCCGACTCAAACTGACTCAGACTGACTCAAACTGACTCAGACCGACTCAACCGACTCAAATCGATTCCGATCGACTCAGACCGACTCAGAACGACTCAGACCGACTCAAATCGACTCCGAGCGACTCAGGCAGACTCAAACCGACTAAAATCAATTCCGAGCGACTCAGAAAGACTCAGAACGACTCAGACAGACTCAGGTGGATTCAAACCGACTCAACCGACTCAAATAGAGTCAGTTTGAGTCTGCTTGAGTCGGTTTGAGTTTGCCTGAGTCGTTTTGAGTCTGTCTGCGTCGATCGGAATCGATTTGAGACGGTTGAGTCTGTCTGAGTCAGTTTGAGTCGTTCTGAGTCGGTCTGAGTCGATCGGAATCGATTTGAGTCGGTTGAGTAGGTCTGAGTCAGATTGAGTCGTTCTGAGTCGGTCTGAGTCGATCGGAATCGATTTGAGTCGGTTGAGTCGGTCTGAGTCAGTTAGAGTCATTCTGAGTCGGTCTGAGTCGATCGGAATCGATTTGAGTCGGTTGAGTTGGTCTGAGTCAGTTTGAGTCGTTCTGAGTCGGTCGAGTCAGTTTGAGTCTGCCTGAGTCGGTTTGAGTCTGCCTGCGTCGTTCTGAGTCTGTCTGAGTCGATCGGAATCGATTTGAGTCGATTGAGTCGGTCTGAGTCAGTTTGAGTCGTTCTGAGTCGGTCTGAGTCGATCGGAATCTATTTGAGTCGGCTGAGTCGTTCCGAGTCGGTCTGAGTCGATCGGAATCGATTTGAGTCGGTTGAGTCGGTCGGAGTCAGTTTGAGTCGTTCTGAGTCGGTCTGAGTCGATCGGAATCTATTTGAGTCGGTTGAGTCGGTCTGAGTTAGTTTGAGTCTGCCTGAGTCGTTCTGAGTCTCAGTCGATACTGATAGCGTGGTACGTTCTCTTACCCAGTGACGTCACAGCATGCTTCGGCTTGGCACGATGGCCTAATGCTGCCTAATACAGGAAACCTTAACCTTGAACGAAAACGCTACCGGTGACGCCAGGGTTACCGATACCGAAATTCCTACTTCCCCCTTATTTAGGGTTTGAAAAAGCTGAGGATGAAGATGGTGAAGCGCCAGAAGTTAGAATAAAAATATGGAGTCCAGCAGGAGTGAGGAAACCGTGAGGAAAACTGAAAATTGGGTAAAACACTGAATCAAACGCGTCTTGGATCCCAGCTGGAACAATATCAAATGTTTCATTGTGGCACGTTAAGATGTTTCACGCATTTAAATTGTTCGTTTTTTGCGTGCATAATGTAGAA